CCTTTGGAAGTACTGCTCCCCCAGTACACTAAGAGTAGGTAGAATCAGAATCTTCTCTCCTTGCTCCCACAGCTCCACTGAAACTGGCTGGAACTTTTAAAGGAACTATACCAGTATTTAAAAGAACACAATGAAGCTGTGTGGGTTTAAACCTCAACTCTATCACTTACTACTGGGTGGCTAGGGCAAGTTCCCTAACCTCTCTGAGGCTCCATTTATTCATCTGCAATGTGGGGAGGGGGTAAGTAATCCCACTTTGTTATGAGGAATAAGACTGTAACTAGTCATTTAGCTGCCTCTAACTCACGGTCCATGATGGGTCAGGCATATATATAGTAAGGAAAAGTGCTGTACATTAGGAGCTCTTTGGTTTCTGTGGTGAACATTCAGTTACATGGAGGCTACTTGCTTTAAATTATTGTCTAGTTCACCGACCTACAGACCTTATTCTGAACACAGCTGACAGAAATCTCTTCTCAGAGAATCCCCCCCGTAAATTCTTAGGTTCTTTCCTCTCCCAATCCCCTTTTTGCTCCCTCCCTTCAAAAGCCAGTGTTTCTACTTCTCAGGCCCTCTGGAGAAAGCAATGACTCGTGGTTGTGGTTGAGAGTTCATTCCTGAGGAAACAGTGACATTTCTGCTCTTCTTCAGAAACAACAACATTGAAGAAACTGGTTCCCTAACGTAAGCCCCCATCCTCACACATATTCCATGGCTAGAGTTGAGAGAAGTTCTTCACACGGCGTGTAGAGGAACATGTCAATCTCAAGCATTTTAGCACTGTATTTTATTAGGGTCTCTGACAAATGAAGTATCCAAAGTGTTATCCAGGACAGGATCCAATCTTCAAATTAATGTTAGTAAAGTTTATTAGAAAGACTCTCTGCTGGGCCAGGATTTTGAGGAGGGATGTGATCTCTGTCCCCAAATTCTTAAAGGGCTTTGCCAGAAGTGTATTAAGGTTTCTCTGCATAGCTCCAGAGAATGACACCAGTATTAATGAGAGGAAGTTAAGGAGAGGCCGTTTCTTGCTCAGGGGAAGAGAGAATTTCCAAATAGAGAAGTTAAAATGGTATTGATTTCCTTGTCATACACAGTGCTTCTCCCCAGTGCATGAATTATAGAGATAATTTGTCCAAAATACCGTGGGCCATACTGAATCATGTAATAATTTGAATCAAAGGTATTTGTTAAATTTATAGTGAAATATAATTTGATTTTGTGTCCCTGTTCAATACATTGCCCCAAGGAAAAACAAATCTTTGGTTGGGTCAGCCATGTTGATTTTTGGTTTGTAAACAGTGGGAGATTCCTATATTAGATGGGAGTTCAGATTTAAAGGATTCCTAGTCCTCAGATTCTATGACAAACAGGATGCTGGTGGTGATTTAGTATGAGGAAGTCCATAGGAATCAAATAGAGAAATCTCTTTCCAGGCTCTACCATTGAGTGGTGTCAGCTTTGGCCCAAGAGTTAATGCCCAAGCTCTGTAACCTACTGAAATTGTTGGGAGGGAGAAAAGAGAGTAATCAGGAGCAAGTGTGAGGTCCATATACTGAATACCCACTGTGTCCTTTAGTAACTGAATATATGTGTAACTCATCGTCACAAAGCACTGCCTTTCTAACTAGTTAGTAATTAACACTACTTTTTTTAAATATTAAAGTGCTCCTGCAAGTTAAGAAAAATTTATAAAAAGCCCAAAGACTCTAATTAAAAGTAGTAGAAGAAATGTATGCACAGTACATGGAACAAGAAATGTTATCTCTTGGGGCACGGGTGGCTCAGTCAGTTGGGCATCCATCTTTTGATTTCATCTTGGGTCATGATCTCAGGGTTGTGAGATCAAGCCTGCATCCAGCTCCACCCTGGGCTTGGAGCCCACCTGGGATTCTCTCTCACCCTCTCCCTCTTCCACTTCCCCCATCTCTCTCCCTCTCTCTAAAAAAAAAAAAGAAAGAAAGAAAGAAAGAAGTGTTATCTTTAATACATTTGAAAAGATGTTCAAAGTCATATTAAAACAAATTAATTTTAAAATTACAGTAAGCACCACCTCACATCCTTAGGGTGGATACCATAAGGAAACAAAAATAACAGGTGTTGACAAAAATGTGGAGAAATTGCAACAGGGCAATTCTGCACTGTTAATGGGAATATAACATTATGCAGCTGCTGTGGAAAACAGAATGTCAGTTCCTCAAAAATTAAAAATAGAATTGCCATATGATCCAGTAATTCCACTTCTGACTATACGCCCAAAAGAAATGAAAGCAAGGCCTCAAAGAGATATTTGTACATCCATGTTCACAACAGCGTTATTCACAATAGCCAAAAGGTGGAAGCAACTCAAATATCCATCAACAGATGAATGGATATACAAAATGGGGTATACATGCAGTGGAGATATTATTCAGCTTTAAAAATGAAGGAAATTTTGACATACGCTACAACATGGATGAACCTCAAATAAATTATGCTAAGTGAAATTAGCCAATCACAAAAAGACAAACACAGTACAATTCCAGTTAGGTAGCTAGAGTAGTTAAATTCATGGAGACAGATGATGGAATGGTGGTTTCCAGGGCCTGGGTGGAGGAGAGAACAGGGAGTCAGTGTTTAGTAAAGTAAGGAGTTTCAGTTTTGCGAGATGAAGAGTTCTAGAGATGGATAGTGGTGATGGTTGCACAACATTGTGCTTAACACCACTGTACACATAAAAAATGAGTAAGATGATAAATTTTATATTACGTGCATTTTACCACAATGAAAAATAATTTTTTAAAAATGACAATGAGATGTCATTTTAACTCTCCCTATTGGTAAAGATCACAGGATAGAAAACATGCTCTGTGAAAATAGGTATGCTTGTTTATTTGTTGTGGGGGAACATAAATATTTAATTTTAGGGGAGAACAATTTTTCAGTGTCTTTGAAGATTAAAATTACATTTACCCTTTGACCCTTTGGTCAAACCATTTCTACTTCAAGGAAGATAGCTTACTCCCACATACGTGTTTTGGCATATGATCAAGGTTTTTCATTGCAGCAGAATATTGCAAACACCTAAATGTCCCTTGATAGAGGCTGGTAAAATAAATTATTGTCACTCAATAGAATATAACAGAATATGCAACTGTTAGAATGAAGATACCCTGTAGTTAATACAGAATCTCTAAAGTAGTGGCCAGTGTGCAAAATTGTGTATAAAGTGCTACTGTTTGTGTTTAAAAATAAAATGAAAAAAGAATATGGGTCTATGTTTTCATTTTGTTTTGCCTAAAATAACTGCAAGTAGAGGCAGGAAGCTGTTAACAGGTAACAGTGGTCTCTCCAGTCATGTCTGTGGGAGAAAACTTGATAGCTAGCAGACAGGGGTAGGAGAAAGACTTGGTTTCCACTATTTATCCCCTGTACTTTTAAAATTTAATACTATGTGCAAGTATGATCTAATCAAAATCTTTTAACTAAAAAGATAGGTTATAGTCTAGAAGGGAAGAAACTTAACAGACAATTTTAGCCCAAAGCCCCATGCTGAGTGCTATGAGAGCAGAGAGGAAGGGTGTCTAGCATAACCCAAAGGCACCAGGAATGGCTTCTAGACACACCACCCCCAAGGATGAAATTTCTGCTATTGGATCACGAATAGTTGTGCATCTTCTCCTGAACATTGGTTTGTTTTATCCTAATGGACAGATCTGTAAATTTACTGATTAGGTTTTCATTTTCACATCAGCTGTTAAAAGGATATAGGCCAAACTTGTGACCTGAACCATACAGGGTAGGCAGATTTCTAAATGGTAAACATTTAGCACTGGACTTGTACCAGGCTCCATTTTATATACTTGCATTTGGTTGGCTTTTTAGCTATTTCTTTTTTTTTTTTTAAAGATTTTATTTATTTATTTGAGAGAGAGACAGTGAGAGAGAACATGAGTGAGGAGAAGGGCAGAGAGAGAAGCAGACTCCCCGTGGAGCTGGGAGCCCGATGCGGGACTCGATCCTGGGACTCCGGGATCATGACCTGGGCCGAAGGCAGTTGTCCAACCAACTGAGCCACCCAGGCATCCCTTTTTAGCTATTTCTAGTTTTGGTCATTCTCCACTATTCTGTGCTATACTGTAAGCCACTCTGCAGCCTTTTTGGTCTAAGTTGGAATAAGTGGGTGAGTGAAGAGGAAAGGAGGGAGGGAGAGGAAGAAAGAGAGGTTAGAAGTTATAAAGCAATGCGTGTTTTCCTTGACTCATCATGTTCTCAAAGTGGGGTCCTTAGGCCAGCAGCACAGTATCACCTGTGAGTTTCTTGATGTGGCTTTCACGGAGCCTACTAAATCAGAATCTCCATGGACAAGGCCCAGATAATGGCTTTAACATGATCTTCCAGATCATTTTTATACACAGTAAAGTTTGAGAATCACAGGGAAACCAAAGGCAAGTCAATTTCTAAAATAAATACACTTCATTTGTCCCATCATAGCCATTGTCTTGGTCAAGGTAAGTAATGCTAGATATTCCAATAAACAATCCCCTAAGTTTCATTAGCTTGACACAATTGAAGTTTATGTTTTGCTCATGTCACAGTCCAGTATGGATTGCTTTAGGGTGGAAAGAGCTGCTTTATTAATTTGTTCACTGATCCAGCTTCCTTTAATAGTGAGGCTTTGCCATCTTCTAGGACCTTGGACTCTCTGAATTCTCTGCATCAAGAAGGCAGGAGAAGTAGGAAAGAGAGAGATGCTTTAGTGGCAGGTCTGGAAGTAACATCTGTCTTTTCTGCCCACAATTCCATTGGCCAGAACCCAATCACATGACCCATCGAACTTCAGGGAGGCTGGGATGTAGGGCTTATCTGTGGAGCTAGAAGGAAAAGGAAATGGCCTTCGTGAACACATAGCATGGTCTCTGCTACACGCATGGGCCCAAGCGATCCCCAAGCTCCACTTGTCATGTTTTGGTTTTTAGGCATTTTCTAATCAAGTTCTATCTTTTCTTTTTTAATTCTAGCACTATGGGACTGAGTAACACTCTCCTTGTGATGGCCCTCCTGCTCTATGGTAAGAACCTTTTGGCTTTTTAAAGTCCTAGAATCCTACTATGTCTTCTGATGAACTGGCCACTGCAAGACTGGGCCTGAGACTTGGTGGGTTTTACTTCTTTCTATCCAGTGTTGCATAATACCACATAGGGAAAAAAAAGAAAAAGGAAAAAAACTTTCCTGGAGAAGAAAGAGGCATCATGTTATAGGAGGTCTAGCCTGGGATGGTGCCCCCCACCCCGGTACATCCTCCCCCTCTGCCATCTTCCTCCCCTGGTACTGGATGCACAAAGTAGGGTAGACTGGCCTATCCAGCAGCACCCAGGGAACTAGGGAAAGACCCCTGCTCTGACACCCCCAAGGCTTAACTCTTTTGCTCCATACATATTTCCTTCTGGTCTTCTCTATTCCCATTCCTGGCATTCTCAGGCTTTTGGAAGACAGCCAATGGGCTTCTAAAAGCCTTCTATTAGGGAATATTGGTTTCCATGTTCCCTGCCTTCCCTCTCCTCCTCCACAGCCGGCTCTACCAGTTGATGCCCATAGATCACAGTGGCCCCTGCTTACTGGGGGGACCCAGAAGCCCAGCTCTGCTACTCCCGACTTCAGTGACCTTCAGCTAGTTAACAGCAACTGAGTCACCATGAAGTGAATGAAGCTGATCTTCAGGGTTTCTCACTTATGCAAGCCTTTCCCGAAGTCCCCTCCAAGCGTCTGTTAGGGGCCCTAGCAGTGTGGTCACATGTCTTATTCTTTGGTAAAATCTTCATAAGTATGGTATTTTAACCACAATAGTTAAGACCACTGTCTCTTTCCACTGCGACTTTTCCCTCCATCATGTTCTCCTTCTGTTGGCTGGCAGTGTAGTGGCCATGGGCATTTTGTATTTGAAATCTATATACTGTCTCTTCAAGAGCACTCCCCCCTCCCCCTCAAAGAAGAAGTTTTAGAAGAGTCGGCCTCACAGGACTCAGATCTTCCCTGTTTGCTGCTCCTCTCTGAGTTTCAGTTTCTTCATCTATAACCTGGGGTTGGCTGAGGTTCCTGCCACACATCCTGTGACTGGGCGACTTCAGTTTCTCCTCTCCCGCTGCCCCTCCCTGTGGCACATCTTCCCCACCCTCTGTACTGAGAGAGAAGCCATCCCAGCCTTGATGTGGGGCACACGGTGGCGGGGGTGGGGGGAGCGGGTGAGCTGAGCCTGAGCTTGGCCACAGCAGCAGGCAGCTGCCCTTAACTAACTGGCCCGCCCATGAGTTCACATCCTCCTGATGGCTCTGTACCAGGCCCTTGGCCGATGTCCTCCTGCCTGCTGTGTGTGGCAAGGAGTTAAGACTCTAGGGAGAGATGCTCCCTCAGAATGATGCTTGCTGGGATGGGCCTTTTGGGATTTCTGTGTTCTGCTTAGCCCCTTGGAAACTGTTAAGTCCATGAGTGTGAGGTCTATATATGTGCTAACTGACCACTCCAGTACTATGGGTCAGAACAGACCCTTCTACTTCCCAGGGCCTGCTAACTGTGAGGAAGGGCATAAGACAAGGCTCTGGAGAACATTATCCAGCAGAAAGCCCTTCCCATCCACTTCTTATTCTATTTACTTGACAAACACTTAGATGTAGCAGTTACTTTGTGCCAGGTACTGTTCTAAGAGTTTTATAAGTGATAATTTATTTAAACATCACAGTAACTTGCGTATAGATGTGGAAGCTAACACCCAGAGAGGTTAAGTAATTTGTCTAAGATCAACATAGGTAAGGAGTGGCAAGGCTTGGATTCACCGCACATGTATAGATTCAGCATCTGCTCACTTAACCTTGACATTATACTGCTTCTTCCAACACTTTCCCATGAACTATTCATAAGTGGTAGGATTTGTTCCGTGGAGACCCAAACAACTTTGGTGGAAAATGTCACTTATCCCTCAGCCAAGTTCACAAGCTCCTCAGGAGCACGTCCATCACTTTCCTTGCAGCCAACACCTCATCTGTCCCTAATGCTTGGGCCCCAAACTTCTCATCGCAGTGACCAGCCTAGCTCTTACGACCTGGGGAAAAATGAAGAAAAAGGGCCTAGAAACAAAGTTTTAGAAAAGTTTGATACCATTTCCCCCCAAACTTTCTGACTTTGCACACTGAAAGTGAGAATAAAGCTGAGAAGCCCTATCAAAACTGAGTCCAGATGTCACTTTTGCCCTTGCCTTGCTTTTGAAGTTTCAAAGTATACTGCTTGGATACTTCTTAGCCTCAGAAAAGAGAATTACCAATATTGAAACCCTAAAAGTAACCTCCCCAAATGGTAACTGCTTAAGTTTTATGGCCGTAAAAGAATCAGTGATTATATATTTGGCTGTATAAATTTCAATGCTGAGATAGGAAATGGTGATACCAGATCAGAATATCACATTGCCAATATTTCACATGCTATCAAAAAGAGCAACAAGAAAAACAAAACAAAACAAAAAAACCCAGATACCATTATTTTTTAAAGAAAGAAAAAAAAGTCAACTTCAATTTTATCTTTCTTCTCAGGACGCATCTCTGTGTACTGGGCTGGTGAGCACTGAACTGGCCACAGGCAGGCATCCAAGGGAAGAAAGGAGATGCAATTGGCCAGGTTAATCCACAGCAAAAATGTAGGGTTGAATAATTTATTTGATGGCAGAGGGAAAACAGTGCAGCAAAATAATTCTGTTTTTCCTCTCTCCCATATGTTCTTTGTCCTCCCCTAGTCAGGGAAATTAGACATTAGAGTTGCTGCCCCTGCCCTTGCAGTGAAAACTAGATGAGAGTTTAAGACTGAAAAGGGCAGGAGGGCTTTGCAGAATTAGGTTACAACTTGTGCTTTGTATTTATAAAGATAAAGGAATTTCTAAGTGCAACTTGCAAGGCACCTTTAACTGTCAAGTTCTGTTTGCTGCTAGCCCAGCACCTCTGTAACTTTACGCTGGAGCCAGAGTGGTATTTGGAAAATCACTAGTTCACAGGTCAGAAGGAAATTTCTTCCCAGTTTGACTTTTGATGGTGGCTCTCTTACTGGCTGGGGGTTCTCTGGGTCATAGTGCTTCCCATTTCTCTTGAACAATACCTCAGTTTCAAGGAATGTACCCAAAGTATGGCGGAAAATCTTTATTCACTTTAAAATTTACATAAAATTAGCTCAAACCCTCATCCCACATCATATGGAAAGGTCCACTGTTCCCCCAATCCCAGATTCTTAGAGGTTCCTAATTATGTTTATATGGTTACGTTTACTTCTGTTTCCTGCTACTGTTGATAGTGGTCACTAAAATTACCACCTGGAGGTGAACAGATAATTCAGACTTAATTCCAAAATTCCCAAAGAATTGTCATGAAGCCTAATAGTTCTCATATTGGAGTCACTCTTTCATGGTAAGTTACTGTTTCAGGGTCTTTTGAAATACATTATGCTACCCAGTAGGGAGTATCTTACTCCCAATGTAATTAATCATTCTAGTAGTGTGCTCAGTAAGTTCCAAAGAGTATGGGCTGTCAGTCATGATAATTTAGGGGAAGATAGTCACTGAATAGGGTAAGTATAGGGTTGTTTGAAAACAAGAATGAAAGTGGGAACAGAGACTTTTTCTAGGTGTGGATTTATTTTCATTTATCTTGCTTGGTACTTAGAATGAATGCACTTTTGATCTGAGGACCCATGTCCTGCTCAATATGAATATTTACAATCTTATCTCTTCAACTATAGTTTATCTACCATTCCCTCCATTCTCTTCTCAAGAAACTCTAGAGCTTCTCAGACTAACTGTTCATGACTCTTATTTATCTGTTCTTCCACATTATTACTTCTTTCTCTCTGTGTACAGCATGCCAACCAAGGATCCAATGGATCAGCATAGATGGAGGGGGTGCTTCTCATTGTTGAGGGAGCCCAGAGCAAAAGGCTCCAGCAGTGTATGGAACCTGGGGAAGGCGTAGGGAAGAAAGATGAGGGGAAGGGTCGGGGGTGGACATAATGAGTCATCATGAAGAAAGTGTCTTCAAGGCTCTCCCTCCTCCCCAATATAAGGAGCCCTCAGCAGAGGCACCTGAAGCAGACCTCTACTTGAGGCCTCAGATAAAGAAATCTAGGAATAAAGGTGCCTGGGCTATGAATGTAAATATGTGAATAAGCATGACTAGCCACAGATCTTGAGTTTTGACTACAACTCCCATTAGAGACTGCTGTGCATGACCTGTGCACTAAATCTGGTGTGGGGAGGACAGTTTTCCTCCATGAAGCCTGCCAGGTAGAACCTTTGTAATTGCCTAGGGTCCGAACTAAAAAAATTAACACGGGTTTTTAACTAGAAGTTAGATTACTCAGGAGAAACAGACAGTAACCAACATACCACATCATGTCAGGTCATAATAAGTACTCTGATAAAAAATAATTCCGTGTAAGGAATAAGGAGTGACAAGGATGCTATCTTCAATGGGATGGTCAGAGAACTCTTTGAGTGGGTAGCATTTTATGAAAGACCTGTATGAAATGGAGAAATAACTATGAGATTGTAAGGAGGAAGGGTCTTCTAGGCAGAGGGATTAATATGAGAAAAGGCCTTGAGATAGACTGTGCCTGCCTTTGGAGGAATAACAAGGAAGCCAGTGTGGCTGGAGCTGAGCTAGGGAAAGGGCTTTGGAAGATACCAGGGATCAGATTACATGAAACCTTGTAGGCCAGGGAAGGATTTTGGATTTAGTTCTCAGTGTCATGGGAAAGGATTTGGATTTAATTTTCATTGTGGTGGGAGGTCATCAGGGACTTCTGAACAGGAGAATTATGTCATCTAAAGGATGATTTTGGCTTGAGGAACTAGACTTGGGGGCAAGGATGAAAGTGGACAATTAGGAAGCAATTGCAATTATCCAATCTAGCTGTAATGGAGGGTTGGCCAAGGTTACTATCTGCAGATCCAGTGAAAGATATCCCAATTCATAATCAGTCTCAGTGAGGCAAAAGAATTGATGGAGTGGTGGTATTAATTAAGGAGGAATTAAATAAAAA